TAACAATAAATATAATCTCAATAATAATCTCAATAATGCCCTGTAATAATTCACAATAATTCTCAAAATAATATAAAATACCCTTAATAATTCATAATAATAACTTCTCAATAAATGCCCTTTAATAATTCACAATATAATCTATCAATAATTGCCCTTCAATAATAATCAATAAATGCCCTTTAATAACTTCAATAATATCTTTAAAAATTGCCCCTTAAATAACTTTTTATAATATGGCCTTCAATAATATTTTAATAATTTTCCCTAAATACGATGGACCAATAGACCAAAGGAGACGGTTATATAAATTATGCTTACAACATTGCTGTATTCATCTCGTTGCTTGATTTCTCTCGCCGTAGTTGGATTGTAACAAACGTTCGGTCTTCCCAGAGTCGTTGAATTGAAGCGTGCACTCCTCAGCTCAACGGTGATCCACGAAGGTGAAGTTGCCTCTGTTGATTGAAGTTGATCCAAAATATTTCGACAAATATTGTTGAATGTTCCTTGTATCTTGGAAGACCCTGTCCACAGCGCCAAAATTCTGTTGCGTCCCAACTGACGTCGATTTATACATCAACGTGGAAATGAATACTTGATCCAATAGGTTATTATGAGTATTTATTTAAGTACAAAATTACAATGTATATAAGCTATGGTGGAGATGTGAGCGGTGTTATGACCTGACTCCAAATGTCTTGAGTATCCCTAACCGTCTGCCGAGCTCTTGTCCCGGGCTGGTATTTATATGATCGAGTCCTTTGGAGTGGGTGGTTGTATCAATGGCCAAATTCGGTCATGAGACTGCGTCCGGGTCTCGTACTTGGTATGCTGGTCGACTCGTATCCTTCGTATGAATGTTTGACTTTCCTAGAGAGATACTTTTACAGTGTCCCTAACGTGTTATAATATACTAATTGCCTTATTAATTATATCGTCGAGTACTATTAGAAACCTGCGCTACGTCGTACATTGTTATTACTTAATTACTAAATACGTAGGTACGTAACACTATAGTCAAAGTGCAGATCAAATTAAAGCTATTCTTGGTCGCTACTTACTTACTCCAAATGCCACAAGGTATATATTACTAAATTAATTGTTAGTTGATAATATAATTTTTAATTATTTTTTCAGTAATAATTTTACTTGGCCTACATAATATTTCTGACTATTTTTGTAAAATATGTTTTTAGATGGAATTCATTTTATGATTCAATTAACTTGTTGTTTGAATATTGAAAAAATGGATGAAGTCTGTGCTAAACTTCAGGTGCCTTTTTTTACAAAGCCCCAGGATGTCGATTTTTTAAATGAATATTGTAAGGCAATAGTTATTATATATCCCATATAATATGAGTAATGTATTGCATTTATTTCAATAATTTTTAAAATACTTAAGTGTATTTTCATTTTTCAGGTAATGAAACCTATTGCTCGAGGTTTAGATGTCTTGCAAGGAGATAAACAAATCTGTATTGGTTTTTTATTACCTACGTTAAGCGCAATCAACAGAGCTTATGATGGTATAGGAAACCTTAAATATTGTAAACCTCTAGTCCGGGCTTTAAGTATAGGACTCTCTCAAAGGTTGACACAATCATTATTCATTACTATAATATAGTAACATATAACTTAGTAATTATATAACTTATAAAATATTAATTTTAAAATTTAACTATTACTTATTAGATTCCAGCGTTATATCACTTGTGATAACTTTCAAATGGCTGCGGTTTTAGTTCCCAAGTTTAAATTGAATTGGACAGAACCTCAGGAAAATTTGCTGATTGTAAGTGTTAAGTTGACAATTTTAAATCACAAACTGTTTTTGTTGTTAATGTTATTATAATTATTATATTAAATATGCTATTATTATTACAGTTAGTAAGTGTCTGACTGAATAATGCTATAAATAAATCATACAGTTTGAATATGAAATATTATTTATTTTTGTATTATAATATTTTAAAAACATTTTTATTTTGGTTTGTTGCTAGTTTAGGTACTAGGTATTTTTTATGTTTCTTGTTTAATAGGTACTTATGAATAATTTTTCTTATAAAAGTGTATAGTAATTAGTTAGTTTATTCAGTGTATTTTCACTTTATAGGGTTTTCAGAATTTATGATTTGATTATTAATTATACTAGTTAATCAAACAGTTTTTCTTTAGATTTTTAAGGATAATTATCATTATGGTAGTTTTTTAGTTTTAAACTTCTCTAAAACTTAATATATATTATAAAATACAATAAGTCTAACTAGGATAGTAAAATGTATACTTCTGTCTACTACTAATAATTAATATCTTCTCTAGACTTTAAAAAGTTTAGTATGATTTAAAGTTTATAAGTTTCTGCTAACAATGAAATATAATAATAATTTTAAGTTTTATGTTTGCACAGTGCTAAGCGGCTTGGTAAATGTCCGTACAAATCAAAATACTATTGTAATTGATGACTTATGAATATTATGACTTAAAAAAAAAATTAACTTTTTTTAACTGAGTTAAGATAATTTTATTTTCCATCTTAACTTTCAACTTAACTAGTTAAATTTTATTTTTTTGTAAACTTTTAACTTAACTGAAGCCAATTTAATTGAATTAACTTAACAGTTAATTATTTTCATTAACTTGCCCACCATTGCTTTTTTCCAATATTGTTGCTAAAGCTCTATTACATTGCGAAGAAAATAATTATATAAAAATCAACAACTTAAAGGATGTAAGTACTGTTTATTTAAATCATTATGCAACAAACCTTTGATTTAATTTCTTAACATTTAATCTTAAGAGGATGTTAGCACACTATTTGTTTTCTCTCTCTGACTCATGAGCATAATACAGAAAATGTTATGTTCACAATAGTGATTATAATCATATAATTAATTTCTAAAATGAGAGTGAAATTAATATGATTAATACTGTGCTGACATCCTCTTAATAATTAAGTAAGCTAATAAAAATATTTTAAAATAAAAGAAATGTAATCATTTGTAAAAACAGGCCTCTGAAACTATTTCATTGTTTAATGATTGGTTTGACCTATTCAACACCCAACACAAATTTGATAATGGTGTAGCAAGTTATGGTCTTGATAAAATAAATCAGAATAAATTAATTGATAAAATGAGTGAATTTATATTTAATATGAGGGTTCACGGGAAAAAATCCCTACTTCCATTCCAAAGAGGTAGGTTGATTATATTTCAGCATTATTATTAATTATTACTTGTTTAGAGAACAGTAAAATTAAAAATTAAGTAAAATATGTATTAGGCACATTGATAAGCAACAAATCCGTCAAAGGTTTACTGGATGAACTCGAACATGAAAAATGTTCATTTATTTTAACCAGGAAGGTCAACCAAGACGGTTTGGAAAATTTGTATAGTTTTTTAAAGGGAATGGTGGGGTTATCAAGCCATAAGATGACAGTCCTAGATTTCAAATATTGGTAAATACTTGAAATTATGAATTACCAACTACATTTATGAATTATGAGATTATTTAAATTGTTATTAAATTAGATATTAAACAATTCAAATATTTTTACCATTCAGTACTACTCATTTCATTTCAGTATACGGAGTATTTTAGGTAAAAATTCCAATTTTATTTTTACCGAGAATACAAATACAGAAGTTGGACTTGAACCAAACATTTTAGATGAGAAAATTTGCTTGACTAGGAAGATAGTCCAAGAGTCAAAGTTATTGCCATCTCAAGATTTTGCAGAATATCACGATGTTGAGTTAGCAAATCTTGAAACAGAATTTGGTATGGGGTCCACAACAGTTCCACAGCAAAGTTTGGATCTTTTAAAGCAATTTGAAGTATATATAATATATTATATTGTAGCGAGCTGTGACTATTTCTTAAATAACAATATAAATCTCATTCTAATATGTACGTAATCATATAATAGACGCGCTGCGTAAATATAATATACCTAATAGTAATACGCGAGCGTTATTCGCGTAAATGTTAATAATAATAATAATATCGCTGGCACCATGTATACCTACAGTACGTGTGTAGTGAAGCGAAGATAATAATATAGAACGCATGACCATGAACGGCGCGCGGCAATAGATATATGACTACGTATATAAATAATTCTAAAATACTGTGAATTAGGATTTGTACTGTTATATTAAATGACATCACAAGTAGCCAGAACGAGGACCGTGTGACAAATCCCACGATAGGCCTAACCGCAGGATGACCATGTAAAGTCATGTGAATCTGTGGAAGGGACTGGAGAGACCCATCGAGGAGAGCTGATGGACAAGCGTTCATCAGACGAGCAACCAGCCTCAACTTGAACAGTCACTAATTACTCACTAGTCACATCTCGCTTAAGTCATAACCATAATATTTTGGACTTAGTCTATTTTTCATAATAACTGTTTTACACAAAATAAATACAATTATTACCATCAAAGAGGTTTTGTTCAATTTATACTTCCATGTCTACGAGTAACGCGGAGTAGCACGTTACAAATTGGCGCTATGGATAGGGTATCTCAAAAAGGGATACTTAGAAGAACTGAGAAAAACAAATAAAAAATTTTTTCGAAAGTTTTTTGAAAATTTTTCTATCTTCTAAATTCAATCAAGGAGGAAAATCCGTCACTGGATCACCGTTGGGAGATAGGCCACCTTCCAACAACTCCGAGAAAGAATCCTGTACAATTACAGGGTCTAGTTCGTTTCGCCACGATCATTTCGCCGCCGTTCATTTCGCCGCGATCGTATAGAATCGGATTTTTACTGTCAAGGCATTACTGAAACTGGATTCGGTAGAATGACGAAAAATACGAAGAACAGGTGGGACTGCAACGAGTGCAAAGTTAGCCGGGAGAGTAAAAAAGGAGATATACAGTGTTAATGATGAGAACAATAATATTAAACAATTAACTGAATCAGTACAGTTCATGAGCACTAAATTCGATCAGTTCAATATCACCGTCGGAAAAATACTAAACGAAATGAAAGAACTAAGAGAACAGAACATGAAACTAACTGAAACAAACGACAAACTATCATCTGAAATTCGAGTATTAAAAATTAAAGTTGATGAATTAGAGCAGAAAACATTAGAAAAAGTAATCGAAATCATGGGCGTTCCACTAATACAAAACGAAGACTGTAAAAATACAGTTAAGGGAATGATAAGTAAATTGAACATTGAATGCGACGTAGTTAAAGCCTACAGAATATCATCTAAACAGAAAACTGATACGAAAATAATTGCTTGGTTATCGGATACAAATGCCAAAAACAACAGCAAAGAAAAACAAATAGACAGCAAATCAATACCAAAGCGACTGGCCTACATAGAAAATATATATTAATAACCACTTGACAAAATTCAAACGATTACTACTGGGTAGGTCAAAGTCAGCGGCGAAAGATAAAAACTACAAATATGTATGGACGAGTCCCACATAACACAGGTACAACTAATGAATGTATAATAGATATGATTTATAGATATCCATAACATCCTTTAGATATGAATGTATATCTATTAAATATCTACTAGATATCCAATTGGCCGCTTTTTTATTAGTTTATGGATATCCATTAGAAATCAGAAATAATTGAATTATAACATCCATTAGATATAAAATAATATCCATTAGATATAATATATTAACCATTAGATATAAAATATTATCCAATAGATATAATATATTATCCATTAGATATAGTTCAGCACCATTCATCCAATAATTGCAATATGTAATGGATATCCATAAGATATTCATTGCAATTTATATTATTTAAAATGGAATACAAATTAGAGAAAAATGTTTAATAAACCAAACCTTTATTTAATATCATAGTAATAATTATTCTCAATAAAAAAACAAAATAATAAAGTAATTATATTGCACACAGACTTATGTGAAAACAAACAAGATATAAATATATACAATTCAAAATATACAATGTAAAAATGATCATTCACTCTGCATGGGCAATAAAATTTGTTCGGTGGAATCTGCAGCACATCTTTTCTCACTAATTTTAATGGAATTAATTAATTATTTTACATTTAACAAATATATAAATAGGTATTTATAATTTTTACCAATTTTCATTTCTTGTTTTGGCATGCCTCAACCAATTTTTATGCTTCCAATTATTTCAGTCTCCGTGGTTGTTTTGACAATTTTGAATACTGAATCTAGAATCAAAGTAAACAAAAAATAATTTTTCCAATTTTTAAAAAGATTATTATTATTTATATAATTTATAATGAATATAATTTCATTGTGTAAGTTATTATTACCAATTATAACTCTTGATACAGCCAAACTGGACATAACTTTCTTTCCTTTGCCACCACACCAACTATAAGTCATAGCAAGTTTGTCTGTGAAAAGTTTGCGAAGAATAATTTTTGTTGCTTCGTCGGTTTTTGATCCACCCAATTTGGTCAGAGATGCAGTCTAAAAACAAAATAAAATTATTGAGTAATGTTTATGATTTACGAATTTTGAAGGACCCTAATTAATCGATTTTAAACTACTGAATTTCAATGAACAAAAAACGTGTTGCGTGTGGGTCAGACAGACAACAAACAGTGCGCTAAATCATCTTAAGAAGTAATTTTCATTTAATTTATCTTCCCATATAACCAATATAATATTATAAATTTAATATTCATATGTACCAAGTTTAATTTGTAGGTTGTATCAATTAATGATAATTCAACTTTCTTCAATGCTTCCTCGGTATTCATTGGGAATTCTCCAACGACATCATTTAGATTAATATCCTCAACAGAACTGGTTAAGACCACAGAATTTGAAAATGACAGATTTTTGACACGGTCATCTAGTTTCCTGACGTTTACTTTTATGACAGCAAGCTGTCTTAAAACCAAATTTTTGAAATCTAGAACACCATTTATAAATTAAGGTTTTTATAAAACTTGATAAAATACTTATCTAAAATTATGAATATTTAGCAATTCATGATATAGATTTTTGAATATATTGTATTTAATCAAACTTTAGTACATTAAGTATAAACAAATTTTTTAGTACTTACCAGCATCACTTAAACTACCGGCTTTTTTTATCCGCTTCATATTCTCCATTTTTGTAGTTTCACATGTCGAGTACTCAAGTGCCCTCTTTAATTTCATTGTAGGAGTATAATTTACTGCTATACATAAAATAATTACAATATTAGATATGGTTAATTATTATTTTTAATTTTGTATAGTCTTACTACTTATACATTTATACTCGCATTTATATTATGATTTTTCAAATTAGAATAATATTTAAATATTTACTATGGATCATAATAATTCATTAATATTTTTATATTTATAATTATTTGTTAGTATTTACTATATAGGTAGTAAAATATACGCCAAATTACATATTATGAGTCGTAACAAGACTATTTAACAAACTTCCTTTACACAATTGTTACTATATTTGTTAAATAGTCCTGGTACACTCTGTATACTGTTAGATTATATTATACTTTATACTATTATTACCACCACTGTCAGACTCATGTTCATTGTTGATATTGTTCAAAATATTTTTTGAATTTTTTAGCTTTTCATCTCTTATATCTAGTTCATATGAACTTAAAGATCCATCGCTTGACAGTGATTCTTCCTCAGGTAAATCAAACAATGACGAGCATACTTTTAGTTTATGTGCTAAAGATGGAGTTGTAGCTTGATGGGTAGCATTATGGAACTTAGATGTGGATGGCTTACTTAAATTCACATTTGATGCTGTAGGTGGTTCAGGCAGAGGTTTTATGTTGATTTTAGTTGAATTTGAGAAATGAAGTTCCTCACTTGAACTTGATGAACAATTTTTCTTTCTTCGGTTTTTGCGACTTTTTTTTTCTTTTTCAACATCAGTTGTTAAATCTGTGTAATCTTCAGCCTTTTTTAATTTTATTAAACCTTTTTCAAAATTATCTACAAGTTATAAATTGTAATATTATTATTAATAATACATTTCATTTTAATAATAATAAAAATGTACTCTTAAAACAAAACTATTTACCATACTTTCCAAGAACTAAGGATACATTGTAGATGGACCAATTAATAGAAGGTGAAACACATTTTTTTACTTCTTTGAGGAAGTTTTTATCTGATTTAAATAGTCCATTTGGAGGCCAGTAACAAGTTTTTTGGTCAGAAGATACCCAGCAATTTGGTACTATTTGTACGGTATTGTCATCAAATTCTACAATATTCCACATATTTTGCCGAACTTTTAATGGACCTAAATTAATTAACTGTAAACAATAAAATACACATTTATAATAATATGTACAAAATATACACATACTAGTAGTAAGAATAATAAATTAAAAACAGTGATATTTTCATTGCAAAGAGGTACAATCACTATGCAATAGTGGAAGTACAGCCAACATGTTTTCACAACCATCATGATTCCACGGTAGTGCTAGACATTTATACTTTTTGTTTTTTATAGGCCAAATCTCTATATTCAAAGATAAATTTTTTACTAAGTAGCAATCAATTAATGACGATTTACATGGCGTTTGGTAAATATCATAATAGTCTATGAACTGTTTACCAAGAATAACCATTGTTACATGCGGCCCTTCAGGGATCCAAAAGCTGGTGTACTTGATAAATAATAATAGTCAATTAGAATGGTAATCAAATGTATTATATTAAACCAGACAAAACAAGCAGAATAATAGTGTTGATTGTAGTGAATTTGTGGTTCGTTCCGAAGTTGATAATCTCCGTGTAAGTCGTGTGTGATGGCTGGGCGGCTAAGCGAGTCGTGTGGTGTTCTCGTCTCTGGATACATCTACTCAGGCTGTCTCGCTGTCCCCTATATATATGGTGGCGGCGTCCTTTGAAAGTGAGCGGCGCGTGTACAGTCGTCCTTGATATGGACCTCACGGCTATGAAAGTGGTATTCGTAGTCGAAAACACTTTTGGGTGTGGTCGCATTCCTGGTTGTTATTATGAGCAAAATATATGGTATTGCGTAATCCCATTACACCTCCCTACCAAAAAAAAGATTGTTAACCTTTAAGGGTTAAGAATCTTTAACATCGTTAATTAATAGTTTACAATGGCTGAATTACATTGTTTACATTGACATTTTAAATTTTGTATGCAGTTAACAATTTGATTATAGTATTACATTTGATTACAATAATGTGAGCATTTTACAATTTTAATGTCATCATTATTATTATTATTGTTTACAATTTTAATTGTGGTTAGTAAAATAAATTAATACATGATTTAATTAAACAAATAGTGTTAATAAAAATGATTAATAATAAAATAATATAGGTACCTGAAATTATAACATTATAAGCGTTACGTAAGTATACAATTTAAGTATTTCCCCTTTTATAATAATAATATTTATCTTCCACCTATATACTAATTTATGTGAATAATTGTTAAATTTGTCACAGACATATGCAACTATGGTTCTATTCAAGGTAATTTATCATGTAAGTTGGATCTCTAGTGTTTTCTATTATTTTTACTAATTGTTTGCATTCTCCATTACAATGATCGTTTATGAAAAGTTCAAGGCTTCTAGTTATTTTATTTAAAGTTCTATGATCGTAGTGGTTATTTATTTTCTTGTTTGCCTTTAATATATGCCAATTAAAGCATACGGATTGTAACTTATTTTCTTTAACGTTATAAATATGTACTTCTGTTTTTAAAATTGTTTTTAGCTCCTCAATGAATCTAAAATATATAATAAATGTTAATTTATGTATTTGTTTATTTAATTTATTTTGTGTTATATTTATTTATTAACTAATAATTATTATTTATTTGCCTTAAAATTCCTTTTATATTTTTTTGCTAATTTATATAATTTAATAGGCTTTATCTTTGTTACTATGTAATTGAATAGGCATTTCGTTAAAATTACGTCTGCAACTGGATCGTGACAATGTGTAATATTATGATTAATATCGCATGCTAGTTCATGAGCTTCTGATAGTCCTAACATTCTACCATTTTTATTTAATTTACCTAAATAACCTGAATATAAAACTTCCTTAGTCTCTAGGTTTGATAATTCTAATACAAATTCGTCATTATTCCTAACGCTAATTGCCGATATATTTAAATATGCTAAAATTCCTGTTAATCTTAAACGCTTAATTATCGTGATATCTGACGTTCCGTTCCAAAATACTATTAGTGGCTCCCTATCGTTTATGTGCAAATATCTTTGCAAGTATACCGTAGACAAGGTTGATTCCCCCTGGCGACTTATACTGTTGTACAACTGTTCCAGCAATGGTTCAATCACTCTTGCCTTTTTCCCTCGGAATACTC